TCCCAGGGGACAGATCCGGGCCTTTCTCATCCCTCGGTGGGGTCTGGGCCCGCACAGCAGGGCCGGGCGGGACCAGGGGCCGGAGGAGGCCAGGCCGCCCCTGGAAGCCGGGCTCATGGGAGGCAGCTGCGGGGAGGCGTGTTTCATGCTGCGGCTCCTGTTTTTGACGAAATGGATGTCGGCACCTCTCGGGGCTGGAGAGCCCGAGTTTCAAGCTCCTCTCGAGCCCCGCTGAAGCTGTCAGTTTGGAGCGGCCGGTTTGGCACCACACGGAGAGGCTGTAATGAAAACATCTCCAAGTTCAAGTCGAAGGCCAGCGAGCAATCACTGCTCCGTGTCCCGTTGCCTCTCAGCGATGCAGGGGAAGTGATTTAAAGGCACAGACGTGCTCAGCTCCAGCCTCACGGCTCGCCTTGGCGTCGGGGCGCCCGTGACTAAGGAGTGCGCTCTCGGGGGGAATTCTCTAAGGCAGCGGTTCCCAACCTTCTGGCCCTTTAAATACAGTTCCTCATGTTGTGACTCAACCATACAATTATCTTCGTTGCTACTTCATCACTGTAACGTTGCTACTGTTGTGAATCGTAATGTAAATATCTGATATGCAGGATGGTCCTAGGCGACCCCTGTGAAAGGGTCGTTCGACCGCCAAAGGGGCTGCGACCCACAGGTTGAGAACCGCTGCTCTAAGGGCAGCAGCTTGAGAATTCCCTCCTGGGTGACGCTTCCTGCTGTGTCCAGGGCCCTGGACTCCTGGTCTGACTCCCCAGGAAACATACTGGACACACGGCCTTTCTTTCACCTGGTGGAGGGGCTCCCTCGGACTGGGCCCCCACCCTGGCTTAGCTCCCCTATGCTCCCACTCCTTGACGCACAGGTCCTGTGTGGACTGGCTCCCTCTGCTCTCTGACCTCATTCCCTTTGCCCTCCTGGCCCAGGAGCCTCCTCTTTATTCTTCGGATAAACAAACCCCTCCTGCCCCAGGCCCTTTGCACCTGCCATTCTGTCAGCCTCAGGCTCCTGGAATGCAGAGGCTTCCTTCCAAACCCACTCCCAGTGGCTCCCTGTCCTCCCGGGCTTCAGCGGAGGCCCTGTGTCTGTGTGTCTGTGTGTACTTGCCCTGATGGATGTCACCCTCCGGGAGCAGCAGGGCCTGGCTCACGTTGGCCTCAGGGTCGCCAGCGCCGGAGGAGTGCCCTGCGCAGGGAAGGCCTCCAGCTCCGTAGCTGCTGACTCTGCCCTCTCCAGGGGCCGGGCCTCAGCCCCACCAGCCAGGACCTCCCGAGCGAGACTGGATTCTGACCTTCCTGGTCGCACGCCTCAGTTTCTTCACCTGTAAAATGGGGATGATAGTGCCTGTCGCTGGGATCACTGGAGGCTGTGGAGGGGCTGGTCCCGGGGGTCCTCCCGCCTCTCAGGCCTCAGCGTCCCGGGCCCAGAGGCACACAGGAAGCCCGGGCCCC